ATAGATAGATAGATAGATAGATAGATAGATAGATAGATAGATAGATATGGATGGAGAGATGATAGACAGATTCACTTAACCATCATGGCCAAAAGGTCATAAAATCAAGACCAACTCACTTTAACTGGAATGGGAGCCTGTCGTCTGCTGCAGCCGTAAGTCGAGGACTAGCAAAAATAGCCCTAATAATAATAATAATAATTCAAGAGGATTCCCAGGCACCCACTATTGTGAGCCTCCCTTTTTGCGTTGCCAAAAATTCATATTTCTGGAAGAAGAAAAGAATTGCTACCCAAAAGGTCCTTCTGGTTTTTGGCTTCTCTCCTGACACCAGATTTGGCCAAGATTTGGCCGGGAAAGTAGATCCAGAAGTCGTACGAAGACAGGTGTTTATTCTTCTGAGGGGGTCTTCCTTGGAGGCAGACCTTCGGGGGGCGTTTTCGAATCCTTCAGCGTGCTGTATGGTTGTACTTCCTGAACCTCCAGACCCTGCAAGGGGGAAAAAAAACACTACGGAGTGACTTAAGAACTTAGAATTTAGAATAACTCCATGGTCACTTTGAATGTACACTCGCCGGCATACGTGAAAAGGAAATTGCGTTGCATAACAACTCTCCACCTCCAATATACACTACATACACTCTCTATTTATTTATCGATCTTATCCCTTCTTTCCTGCTCTATCTATATCTATCTATAACCCGAAATATTAACTATACACACATACATACCCGTGAAAACTTACATAAACATCTATCTATATCTATCTATATCTATCTATCTATCTATCTATCTATCTATCTATCTATCTATCTATCTAATCTATCAATCTCTTCTTTTCTGCTATCTATCTATCTATCTTTATTTCTATCTGTTCCTGTCTTCTTTTCTTCCTTCCTTCTGTGCCTGCCTGCCTGCCTGCCTGTCTGATCTATCTATCTATCTATCTATCTATCTATCTATCTATCTATCTATCTATCTATCTATCTATCTATCTATATATCTATCTTTCTATCTATCTATCTATCTATCTATCTATCTATCTATCTATCTATCTATCTATCTATCTATCTTTCTATCTATCATCTCTATCTATCTGTCTATCATCTCATCTATCTCTCTCTATATATCTATCAATCTATCTATCTATCATCTCTATCATCTCTATCTATCTATCATCTCTCAATCTATCTGTCTATCATTTCATCTATCTATCTAATATCTCTCTCATCTATCTATCATCTCTATCATCTCTATCATCGCTATCTATCTTATCTATCATCTCTCTCATCTCTGTCTATCATCTCATCTATCTATCTCTCTATTTATATCTATCAATCTAATCTAATCTATCTATCATCTCTATCATCTCTATCTATCTATCTATTTATCAATCATCTCTCATCTCTATCATTTCATCTATCTATTATCTCTCTCATCTATCTATCATCTCTATCATCGCTATCTATCTTATCTATCATCTCTCTCAACTATCTGTCTATCATCTCATCTATCTATCTCTATATATATATCTATCAATCTAATCTATCTAGCATCTCTAGCTCTATCATCTCTTCTATCTATCTATCTATCAATCATATCTCTATCTGTCTATCATTTCATCTATCTATCTATTATCTCTCTCATCTATCATCTCTCTCATCGCTATCTATCTTAACTATCATCTCTCAACTCTGTCTATCATCTCATCTCTCTCTCTATCTATATTTATCTATCAATCTAATCTACCTATCTATCTATCTATCTATCATCTCTATCATCTCTATCTATCTATCAATCATCTCTCATCTCTGTCTATCATTTCATCTATTTATCTATTATCTCTCTCATCTATCATCTCTCTCAACTCTATCTGTCTATCATCTCATCTCTCTCTCTCTCTCTCTCTCTCTATATATATTATATATATATCAATCTAATCTAATCTAATCTATCTATCTATCTATCTATCTATCTATCTATCTATCTATCTACAGTATCTATATATCTAATCTATCAATCTCTTCTTTTTCTGCTATCTATCTATCTTTATTTCTATCTGTTCCTGTCTTCTTTCCTTCCTTCCTTCCTTCTGTGACTGCCTGTCTGTCTGATCTAATCTATCTATCTATCTATCTATCCCAGCTGACCTGCGCGATCATCAGAAGCTTTTTTTTTTTTTTTTTACTTTTAAAAGCATTTTTTCGGCCGAAGATGTTGTAGAAAAAATGCTTTTAAAAGTTTTTTTTAAAAAAGCCTCTGATGAGGTGGGCGGGGTAAGCGAGCGGCGACCGGGCCGGGGACAGGTTCGGGGGCGTGGCCAGCCAATGTTATTACCGGTTCTCTGAACTGCTACAAATTTTTACTACCGGTTCGTGCGAACCGAGAGCAACCCATCACTGTTTTGCAGACTCAGAAAAAGGCTTCTTAATGCTCCTTTTTCAGCGCTGCGCAGTAGCGCCTGTGGCTCTCATGCATGTGAAGCGCGTGTTTGGCATGCACCGCGCACATGCGCGCACGAAGGAAACCGGTAGCGAAGCGAAGCGGTAGCAAGACTTCCGAGCATTTAACCCCGGTGTGAAACCCACCTCTGTTGCCCTTCTCACTGCAGGGTTATGATTTTAATCAGTGTTTTAACAAACATTCTTAGGGTGGAAAGAAAGGAAAGGCAGGCCCCCTTTTTCTAGGCCGAAATATCATTTGTGGGGGGGGGGTAAAAGGAGCCGAGTGCGAAACTTACCGTGTAGATGCCTTCCACTTTCTGGAAAACGGAGGAGAAAAAGGATTAAAATGCGGAGCCACAAGACGGAACCCCCCGTTCCCCCAAAATCCTCCCTTGTAACGGGAAGGGTTTGATGCATACAGGTTGTCCCCGACTTACAACGGTTCATTTAGTGACCGTTCAAAAATTACAACGGCACTGGGGGGGGGAAAATGGACTTACGGCCGTTTTTCAAAGTTACGACCTTTGCAGCATTCCCCGTGGAAAAAAATTCAGACGCTTGGGCGGCCGGTTCAATATTTATGACAGTCGCAGTACGCCAGGGGTCAGGCCATCCCGTTTTGCGACCCCTTCTGACGAGCAAAGTCAACGGGGTAGCCAGATTCACTTAATGGGGTTTTCCACTTAACAACTGCCGGGATTGACTTAAACAACCGTGGCGAGAAAAGTCGTAAAATGGGGCAAAGCTCGCTTAACAAATGTTTCGCTTAGCGACATAAATGTTGGGCTCGATTATGGTCGTAAATCGAGGACAACCTGTAAAATAATTGACAGACTTACCTCGTAGATGGCAGAAGGGGCTGGATACTTGTTCTTCTTCCGATACTGGAACTGATTAAAAAGGGAGGAATGAAGAGATCGATAAATCTTGCGATTGACTGATTGATTTGCAAACAAAACTCCGCACTGGTGACAGGAAAGGCATCCGGCCCCTAAAATACTCTGCTAGCTCCATTCATTTGCCCAGGCTCCACCCCGCAAGGGATTATGGGGTTCGTTAAATGAAGATGAATAAAGAGATGGATAAATAATTACAAAAAATTCCATTGTCATGTCTGGAGTTCAGGATTGAGGCATCTAATTTTCGGGGTTCCCCAAAAGACGCTCACCTTAAGTCGGCAGTAGAGAAAAGTCAGGACGATCCCGTAGAGGAACAGAATCCCATCCAAAATGTAGCATGCCTGCGGTTCTTGTAAAGCTTCTGCAAGCACAAGAGGCCAGGGAAGATTTGCAATTAAAAAAATAAACAACCACAGGTAGTCCTCCATTTACGACTGTTCATTTAGTGACCATTCAGAGTTACGATGGTAAAGAGGGGGGGAAATAGGGCCATTTTTTTCACACTTACGACCATTGCAACATCCCCAGGGTCCCCTGATCAAAATTCAGACGCTCGGCCACTGGCTCATACTTAGGACGGTCCCCTTTTTGCGACCTTCCGACAAGAGAAGTCAACGGGGAAGCCGGATTCGCTTAACGCCGGGTGACTCAATTAGGAACCTCAGCGGTTCATTTTAACAACAGTGGCAAGGAAGGTGGTAAAATGGAGGAAAGTTCGCTTAACTGTCTCGTTTAGCGACAGATATGTTGGGACAATTGTGGTCGTAAATCGAGGACTGCCTGGAACTAACTATTCTGGGGGATACGAAATCCATAAAATAGAAAAGGGGCAGCTTGGCCCTTATGGTTACAGAGGAATTCCGAGGCACGGCCAAAATATTTTTTTAAAAGCAAGTGAAAATGGGTTTTGTGGGGTTTTTTTGGGCACAGGACTATCCCAGTGAGGTCATTGCAGAGGTGGATTTCAGCAGGTTCTGACCAGTTCTGGCGAACTGGTAGTGGAAATTTTGAGAAGTTCGGAGAACCAGTAGTAAAAATTCTGACTGGACCATCTATTCTCTGCCTCCCGAGTCCCAACTGAACAGGAGGAAAGGGGATTTTGCAGTATCCTTCCCCTGGAGTGGGGAGGGAATGAAGATTTTGCAGTATTCTTCCCCCAGAGTGGGGAGGGAATGAAGATTTTGCAGTATCCTTCCCCTGGAGTGGAGTGGGAATGGAGATTTTGCAGTATCCTTCCCCTGGAGTGGGGAGGGAATGAAGATTTTGCAGTATCCTTCCCCTGGAGTGGAGTGGGAATGGAGATTTTGCAGTATCCTTCCCCTGGAGTGGAGTGGGAATGGAGATTTTGCAGTATCCTTCCCCCGGAGTGGGGAGGGAATGGAGATTTTGCAGTATCCTTCCCCCGGAGTGGAGTGGGAACGGAGATTTTGCAGTATCCTTCCCCTGGAGTGGAGTGAGAATGGAGATTTTGCAGTATCCTTCCCCCGGAGTGGAGTGGGAATGGAGATTTTGCAGTATCCTTCCCCTGGAGTGGAGTGGGAATGGAGATTTTGTAGTATCCTTCCCCCGGAGTGGGGAGGGAATGAAGATTTTGCAGTGTCCTTCCCTGGAGTGGGGTGGGAATGGAGATTTTGCAGTATCCTTCCCCTGGAGTGGGGAGGGAATGGGGATTTTGCAGTATCCTTCCGTGCCATGCCCCTCAAGCCACGCCCACCAAGCCACACCCACAGAACCGATAGTAAAAAAATTTGAAACCCACCACCTGCTCTGGTGCCGTTATAACTTTGAACCGTCAGTAAATAAATTGTTACGGGTCGAGGACATGTCTGTATATATTTCGATTAAAGATTTAGTCCGTTCTTATCAATAGAGTGGGATGGTTACCGCAAAAAAAAAAAAAAATCTTTCCTTATCTTAGAACGAAAACAGATGCTTCCTGATTTACAGTTCAACGGAAAACTCCTTATCTCGAGCTAAAACCGATAAGTTTTTCTAGAGACAAGACGTTTTGTTTTAAGGGTTTTGCTAAGGATTAGGGTTTTTCGGGGTTTTTTTTTTTAATTGTCATAAAATGGCATGACTTCTGCCCATCGCCATCGTTCCTCCCTTTTTCATTTTTCGCAAATGTATCCGAAAATTATTCCCCGCGCAGAGCCCATCGGACGTCTCTTCCTGTGAGTCAGACAAGCGTGATGGAGAAAAGAAACTGGCTTTTTTAAAAATAATAATAATAATAATAATTAAATCCATGCTGAATATAAGCAAAACAGTCCTGAACAATGCAATGCAATGACATCCTTTCGTTATTGTCTGTAATGATTTTAGAGGCAAAAGCAGGGGTGAAATCCAGCAGGTTCTGGCGAACCGGTAGCGGAAATTTTGAGCAGTTCGGAGAACCGGCAAATACCACCTCTGGCTGGCCCCAGAGTGGGGAGGGAATGGGGATTTTGCACAGTATCTTTTCCCTGGAGTGGGGTGGGAATGGAGATTTTACAGTATCCTTCCCCTGCCATGCCCACCAAGCCACGCCCACCAAGCCACGCCCACAGAACCGGTAGTAAAAAAAATTGAATTTCACTACTGGGCAAAAAATCAATCCCGGGGCAACGATTTAAGAAGGGTTTTGTTTTTTTTTTTGGAAAGCCACGTTTTTCCTTCTCCCTCCGCATCACATTTTCTTTTACTGATGTACCCATCAGATTTGATTTTATGGTCGTAAAATGGCGGGAAATTCATTTTGAAGTGTCTCGCTAAGCAGTAGAAATTTTGGGCTCAAATTATAGTCATAAATCGAGGACTACTCTATAAAAAGGCGATGGAGATGCAATCTTTTATGACTCCTATTTAAGAATGTCGACCTTAATAAATATAATATATTTATTATATATATTTATTTATATTATATTAAAAAATATAGTATATTTTTTCCTCTTCCGTCGATCAGCCTGGGTTATATTCCTGCAATTCTCAGCTTGGAAACGAATTCAGTGAAAAAGGAATTTGATCCTTCTTGCAACCCCGGAGAATAAATCACAAGTAGTCCTCATCTTACGGACAATCATTTAACCACCATTCAAAGTTAACAACGGCACTGAAAACAGGGACTTATGACCGGACCTCACTCTTAACGCCTGTCACAGATCTCTGTTTCCAGACGTCGAAAGTAATGCAATAAAAGCAGAATTAACAAATTCAGAGCAAATTGTCGATTCAGCCAGTTCGGGGGAATCGAACCTCCTTCCTGATGCCTCTCGGAAAATTATATTTCTGCTTTAAAATACGGTTCTCGTTTCTTCTTAACAGCTGTTCTGGGAAACCCAATTATGGCGCAATTCAATTTGAGGGGGGGGGAAACATTTGTTTGCGGCTTAAAAATCAGATGAGTATCAAGTTGCTCTCGTCTTGATCTCTGTCCACGATCAGCAAAAACACATTAACGAAACCACAAAACTTGTGTTTATTTTGTCATGCTGCGAAGTGTAAAAATAGTATATATATATTTTTGAGCAAAGAAAATCAAGCCATCGAGTGAGGATTAACCTGGGAGAGAAGCCCGGGAGAATCTGTAAATATCAAGATTCAATCCATGTGTTCAGTTCACTGGGCTGTTTCCTGCCTAAGCAGGGGGTTGGACTAGAAGACCTCCAGGGTCCCTTCCAACTTTCGTTATCCTGAATTATAATTCTACTTAAATAACGTTTTGGGGTTCACCTGTGATTGTGAGCTGTGATTGTAGGATATATAACAAATCCATTTATTTATTTATTTTTGGCTCCCAAGGAGAACCAGCACACAAAAAGTTTGAAGCTTTTAATTAAAAATTAAACAATTAATCATATCCAACTTAATTATTAGTTAATAACATTCGGTGAAATGATTCGTCATCAGTCAACGAAGTTATCAACCAATATCCAGTGTAAAATTATAATCAGTAACAATGAAATTATCAACCAATAAAGCAAATCAATTCATAATCCCTTAAGTTATCAATAACAAATGATTAATTAATAAGGATTACACAAGCTGTTAATAATAAACTGTTACTTAATAATTAACTAAACCGCTACTTAATTATAAGTAAACTTATTAACTAAATCATTACTTAATAATAATTAACTGAATTACAGATCATGATTGATTTTGAATTAATTGAATTGTCTTTTTAATTTTATCCAAATGTATTTCTTTTATACAAAAAAGAATTACATTCCTTTTTTTTTTTTGTTTCCTCTCTCACCCCGTCTTTGCATAAGATATATTTATTTTTGTTTTGGGAATTGCTACCCTTCTATCTTTTGATTAATCGTGATTTAGCATGGTCAAACTTTTGGATTAATTACAGGATGCATTTTAGCTCAGTTTTTAAGTAACTGGGAGTAACCCCAAAAACTGCAGATTTTTCCTTTCCGCTTCCTTTTTTTAAAAATCCGCTTCTTTTTCCTTTGCAACCCGTTTCCCCTTTAAAAAGTGATGATGGTGGCAGATGTTTTTTCCCCCACATCTGCGCCCGTGAAGACCAGTTTCTTTTAGTTTCGTTTAACCCAGATTGTTGGTTTCCAGAAACTCAGTCTTCCAGTCCTTCATTTTTTAAAATGGTGATTTATTCATATCCTGGCTTTATTAATTTTGCAAATAACTCAAGGCAGCAAACATATCCAACACTCTTTCTTTCTCCTATTTTCCCTACAACGACCACCCTGTGAGGTGGGATGGGCTGAGAGAGGGACTTGGACAACGCTGGCTTTCATGCCTAAACAGAACTAGAACTCCCCATCTCCTGGTGATTGGCTCATAGTCACCCAGCAGCCTTTCTTTCATACCTAAGCCAGAACTAGAACTCACCACCTCCTGGTGATTGGCCCAATGTCACCCAGCTGGCTTTCCTGCCTAAGCAGAACTAGAACTCACCATCTCCTGGTGATTGGCTCAAAGTCACCTAGAAGGCTTTCATGCCTAAAGTCAGAACTAGAACTCACAACCTCCTGGTGATTGGCTCAATGTCACCTAGCAGGCTTTCATGCCTAAGCAGAACTAGAACTCCCCATCTCTTGGTGATTGGCTCAAAGTCACCTAGCAGGCTTTCATGCCTAAAGTCAGAACTAGAACTCACCACCTCCTAGTGATTGGCCCAATGTCACCCAGTTGCCTTTCATGCCTAAGGCAGGACTAGAATTCCCCATCTCCTGGCGATTGGCTCAAAGTCACCTAGAAGGCTTTCATGCCTAAAGTCAGAACTAGAACTCACCATCTCCTAGTGATTGGCCCAATGTCACCAGTTGCCTTTCATGCCTAAGGCAGGACTAGAACTCCCCATCTCCTGGTGATTGGCTCAAAGTCACCTAGCAGACTTTCATGCCTAAATCAGAACTAGAATTCATGACCTCCTGGTGATTGGCTCAAAGTCACCTAGCAGACTTTCATGCCTAAGTCAGAACTAGAATTCACGACCTCCTGGTGATTGGCTCAAAGTCATCTAGCAGGCTTTCATGCCTAAATCAGAACTAGAATTCACGACCTCTCTGGTGATTGGCTCAATGTCACCCAGTTGCCTTTCATGCCTAAGGCAGGACTAGAATTCACGACCTCCTGGTGATTGGCTCAATGTCACCCAGTTGCCTTTCATGCCTAAGGCAGGACTAGAATTCACGACCTCCTGGTGATTGGCTCAATGTCACCCAGTTGCCTTTCATGCCTAAGGCAGGACTAGAATTCACGACCTCCTGGTGATTGGCTCAATGTCACCCAGTTGCCTTTCATGCCTAAGGCAGGACTAGAATTCACGACCTCCTGGTGATTGGCTCAAAGTCACCCAGTTGCCTTTCATGCCTCAGGCAGGACTAGAACTCCCCATCTCCCGGTGATTGGCTCAAAGTCACCTAGCAGGCTTTCATGCCTAAAGTCAGAACTAGAACTCACCACCTCCTGGTGATTGGCCCAACGTCACCCAACTGGCTTTCCTGCCTAAGCAGAACTAGAACTCATCGTCTCCTGGTGATTGGCTCCAAATCACCCAGAGAGCTTTCCTGGCTAAATTAGGACTTGAACTCAGGGCCTCCCGCTTCCTAGCCCGCTGCCTTAACCACTAGACCAAACTGTCTCTTTTCGTTTACATTGTTCGGTAAGGAGATTCCCCACGCCCTGCTTTCTTGCCCCCCCAAAAAAGTACTATATTATGGACAAGAAGCATTTTTTGCTTTTTCAGGCCAACTTTTGGACTTTTAGCTGCTCTCTGAAATCGGAGGATTAAGTTTGGTTTAACCCGTAGAGCCAACACCGGTGTGCAATTCGGTGTGTCTGGTGGTTTGTGTAAATTTAATGACCCAATTATTACATTTCACTCCGGGTGTGAATCTCCCTTTCAAACTCCCTTTCCTGTCCCACAGTCTGAAGTAACCCTTGTGAAAATCTTCCGCATCAGCCACAGAAATGCAGAAAAATGTCTTGAGGTTTCGCAGCTCAGATTCACTAGCCCCGATTAAGCCACCATGGCAACCTGGCTAGAGCTCCGGACCGCGTGAGCAGGCAGCCCTGGTGGATTTTGCAAAGCATCCCGTGTTGCTTGGCGTGTCGAGCTCAACCATGGCGGCTCAGTTCGCCAAGAATTGACGTGACCCAATCAAGCCACGATAAACCAGGCCAACAAACCGACATTGGCGGGATTGTAACGTTGCAAGATAGGTCAACCAAACCTCCTCCAGATCCTTCTGAAGGACCACAAGATCAGGGAAGAGATGGTTTTGAGTTGCTTTCTGGTCCTTTTTTACTTTCCCCAAGCTAAACCATGTTTTTGTTCTCGCCCAGCTTCCCTAGCTTAAACAAACCATGGTTAGGTTCGGCGTAGCATATCAACACACCGCTTTGATGCAATGCTTAAAGGTTTCAGAACAAAATGCTGACGAAAGAATTCTGCAAAGCTAGAAAAGAGAACGAAAAGAGAAACTTAAAACCTTCAGGGGGAAAATTCCCCTTAAGAGAAAGGATTACAAAAATTGGGGATTTTGTAATTTTTAAAATGGATGAGCGCTGGAAGACGTGTGTGAACTCATCAACATTTTAAAAAGAAAGCATTTTTTTTTTCCCCGACCAAGGTTTCAATTCCTTGCTCACCAGCAAGTTCCCAGTCACGTCCATCTGGCTGATCAAAGCTGCAAAGGATTATATATATTTGGACAAAAAATTTTCTGAAGTTAATTCTTATCTTGGGACTCCCTGTACTTACGTGGGAAAGAAATAATTTTATTTTCACTAACGTCTCTTTAAAATGTAGCATCCTATTCAATAAGTGGGAAGAGAAACCAGCAACTTATGGTCTCTCGACTCCAAAAAAAAAAGACGACACCCAAATGATAATTTTTTTGCTTATTTATTAATTACATTTTCTGCCTCTCTCTCTAGCCAGCGACTCTGTTCCGCTTGAAATTCCTTAAGCCACAGAATAGCAGCAATTACGGGATGAAAACGTTAAAAACATCGGACATTAAAACATTAATCTTGATTTTATTATACCCTTCAAAAGTTAGATTTTTTAAAAAAATCTTTGCTATCCCTCGGGATAATGCCCTCTTCGAAGCAAAATAAATAAAGTTTTAAGTTCAACTCGTCAACTAGAACTCCCGTCTCCTGGTTTCTAGCACTCTACCCACCTCAAATGGACCCTACATATTAATTCAATGTCCCTCTAAGGTTGATTTTAAGAATCTAAGGTTGGCTTCTTGTCTTGGGGGGGGGGAAAAAACCCCAGCTTTTCATCTTTGCTATCCTAAATCAACTCCTCCGTTGATGGCAGAATCACTCGCCGATGAATCACGATTTAGAACGGGGCTGCCTTTCTCTCGGCGCTTTCATCCCCGGCTAACAGTGGTTTGGATAAATCCCATTTTTTTGAACTGCCTCCAAACTTCATTAAAAGCACAAATGGACGCATGCACAATGCCCTAAAGTTAACACAACCAACCTTCGGATTCCAGAAGCGTTGGATATTTTTTTTTTTTTTTAAAAAGCTGGTTTAAAACTTTGGGGAGGGTCTCCGAAAGCCTCCCTCGCAAGGGTGGTTGAGAAGAAGGGCCCTCCCAAGATCTAAGAAGCGAGAATCTTTCTTTCTTTCTTTCTTTCTTTCTTTTTTCTTTTCTTTCTTTCTTTCCTTCCTTCCTTTCTTCCTTTTTTCTTTTTCTTCCTTCCTTCCTTTTTCTTTCTTTCTTTCTTTCTTTCTTTTTTTCTTCCTTCCTTCCTTTTTTTCTTTTTCCTTCCTTCCTTCCTCTTCTTTTTTTTCTTTCTTTCTTTCTTTCCTTCCTTCCTTTCCTTTTTTTTCTTCCTTCCTTCCTTCCTCCTTTCTTTCTTTCTTTCTTTCTTTTTCTTCCTTCCTTCTTTTTTTCTTTTTTCTTCCTTCCTTCCTTTCTTTCTTTTTCTTTCTTTCTTTTCTTTCTTTCTTTCTTTTCTTTCTTTCTTAAGACAAGAAGACCCCCATCTCTCTCTCCCCCCCCATCATTTTTTAATTGCAAATTTATCGCTGTGATGCGGAGTATTGATGGATTCAATGCGTATTCTTTCTCTTTTTTTTAGCAATAAAGCTTGACGCAGTTTATGGATTGTGATTTTTTTTTTAAAATTAATATAGTTAGACCACGTATAAACCGACAGACCCGATTTGATCCTAGCAGGTTTTAATCTGTTATTTTATGATTTTTATTGCAGAATTTTGAATTTGTACATTTATTGTGCGTTCTGGTCTCGTTGACTCACAAAAATTCTGTTTTGTTTTTATATTTTTTTTGGGGGGGGGGGGGCTTTTCGGGTTTGCGAGCGGCCTCTTAAAAGAAAATAAGCGAACAAATAGATTAATCAAAACCGGGACCGAATCTCCAGTGCTTTGCTAACCTCCGATTTAAATCGTGTTTTAGCTCTAGTTTAATGCTTTAATGGAGATGGGCGGAGGGGTTATGATGCTGATACCCCCCCCAAAAAACTCATCCTTTCCATTTCTTTAATTCTTTCCCTCCCTGACCCACAGATACAAAGGGGTGGACTTTACCTGCTCCATCGACCACGAAAACAACCATTACAGCCACGACAGAAATATTCATTTTCGGAGACCCTTGTCCAGAAAAAGAGACAAAACTTGTGTTCGCACCGTGCGGCGAGCGCCGGCAAAATCCAGTTGTGTCCCCTAAGTCCGGGGGCTGAGCCGAAGCCTTCAACGCCACCGCCCAGAGCTCAGCAGGATGGACGCAAGTAACCACAAGACCCACAACTCTTCCTGCAGTGAGTTGTGAGCTCTGGGTTCGTTTTTAAGCTGACGGGGAGGCCCATCGGCTGAAATAAATTCAGCTTCCGGTTTTCCACTCAGTCTGGAGACACCGAAACCAGTTTGGGGGTGGGAATAACTGGGGAACGATTTCAGGAATCTCGCGGATCGAGTAGATCAAGAGGATTACGGAGGGGGTCCATCCCGGCCCGAGAATCGGACCCCGGATGACGGGAGGTCGGGTTGACCTTGTGCGACCTTAACAGAATTGGAAGGGATCGTGGAGGTCGTCTAGACGACCCCTGCTCGAGCGGGAGTCCCCATGCCAGGTAAGTCCTCAACATACGATCAAATGGGTTTCAGCCGCTAAGCGAGACACGTGGTTAAAGTGAATCCCTGCGGTTGTGAAGTTAGTAACATCTAGATTTTTCTCCCCATGGACTTCCAAAGGGGACGTTGGGACCGTCATAAATAAGGAACCGGTCGGCGTCTGAATTTTGATCACGTGACCACGGGGCGGCCGCAACGGTCGTTAAGTGCGAAAAACAGTCATAAGTCTTTTTTTTCACAGCCAATTTGAAAGGTCACTAAATGAATTGTTGTAAGTCGAGGACTATCTGTACATCAAAGATCTTGCCTTAAGAATTACATTTTGGCAAGGCCAGACCTCAAACTCAATTAAACCCCTTCCATTATATATCAAAAGCTGGAGCGGTAAGATGGCCTAGAAGTGGAGCTTCTCGCCTCACAATCAGGAGGCTGTGAGTTCGATCCTAGGTAGAGGCAGATACTTCTCTCTCCGGGCACAATGAGAATATTATCTGCTGAACAAAACTCAGCACCGGCGACAAGAAAGGCATCCGGCCATTCAAACACTCCGCTAGCTCCATTCAGTTGCCCACACAGATTATGGGGGTCGTTCAACGAAGACGATCATGATTATATATCAAAAGCTCCTCAGGAGCCTCCGGTGTGACGTGACGATTTGATGTGGGCTGAACGTCACGTGTGTGCAAACATGACGTAGCGTGGCGCAAATACCACTTTCCCTTCTGCGGAAAATTAAGGGGGGGTCTTAAGGCTTGCGAGGCTGAAAAACAGGGATCTCCAAGCTATGATTTAAGGCAGGGGGGGTTCAAAATTTGGCAATTTTTAAGACTTCCGGACCTCACGCTAGCTGGGGAATTCTGGGAGTTGAAGTCTACAAGTTGGACACCCCTTTTTCAGGGTCCGCTGAGCCGCGCCCGAGACTGAAACAACCACAAACCAAGTTTGTTGGGGAAAATTTGGAAATGTTAGCCCCGTAGATGGAAATGGATGAGCCAAGGATGAAAAACACAGGAGGGGGGGGGGGGAAGCAGAAATTGGATAACGATCGCTCGCGGACAAGCAATTTATATTTTGGGAGATCCGGTTTTTATTATTCTGTTTGCTCATCCTGGTATCCCAGCGCCGAATTGCAACCAAAACAGACACACACACAACAAATAGCAGTAGGATGCTGAGTGAAGATTCCTGGTGGGGGGGTTGGGGGAAACGGCGTCCAGAGTGAGGGGTGGGTTCCTATCCCGTCTCTCTCTGCCCCCCCCCACCCTCGGGGCTGGACGCTGATTTATCTGTCCACTTCGCCAAAGACGATATCTTGGGTGCCTGAAGGAGAAAAGACAAGGAATAAATGACATTTCACAATATCTCCGAAGTTGGGAAAGTGGCTATGGGTTTGGAGTTCCGACCCCCATCGTCCCTGGCTGGCATGGCGGATGGGAGAGGGAGTTAACAGGAATTAAGAGGGTCAGCGGTCCCCGCCCCTCAATTCAGGGAAGAAAATGTGGCTTTCTTTCTTTGCATCCCGTGGCTGATTTTGTAGTGGGGCTTAAGACATCATGCTAGCTGGGGAATTATGGGAATTGAAGTCCACCCCTCTTAAAGCATGCTGGCTGGGGGATTCTGGGAGTTGAAGTCACCCCTCTTAAAGCAGGCTGGCTGGGGGATTCTGGGAGTGGAAGCCCACCCCTCTTAAAGCATGCTGGCTGGGGGATTCTGGGAGTGGAAGCCCACCCCTCTTAAAGCATGCTGGCTGGGGGATTCTGGGAGTTGAAGTCACCCCTCTTAAAGCATGCTGGCTGAGGGATTCTGGGAGTGGAAGCCCACCCCTCTTAAAGCAAATGGAATTAAATTCTCTCCCCCCCCCCCAAGAAACATACTCACCAATGATGGCTACTACATCAGCAAGCATGTGACCCTTAGACATTTTATCCAAAGAGGCCTGCAAAAAAGGGAGGAAGATGATTTAGGGGGAAAGGATCACGGGTGGGATTCAGAAATTTTAGCAACCGGTTCTCTGCCTGGTGGCTGGGGTGTGTGTGTGTGTGTGTGGCAGGGGTTCGCTTAACGACAGTGGCAAGGAAGGTTCGAGAGATGGGGCCAAAGTCATTTCACTGACTTATTCACCAACAGAAATGCTGGGCTCCATTATGGTCGTAAGTCGAGGACTACCTCTCTTTCCCTCCTGACCTCATGGGAGACGTCGACTGGGTTTCTCTCTTACCAAGTGTGCAAAGCCGGGCGCTTTGATCTTGCACCGATAGGGGCGGCTGGTACCGTCAGACACCAGGTAGACGCCGAATTCGCCCTGCAACAAAGGAAGTCGAGTCAAACTCGGTTTGCTGGGTAAACCACGATGAACTGGGTTCATCCCTCCAGCACGAAAGCAAAGCCAACCAAAAGCCGTTATTATCCATCGCTGATCGTTCGGGCTTAGAACGGGGCATAAATAAATAAATAATAAAATAAATAATAATAAATAATAAAATAAATAAAGGGGGACATAACAACCATCCCTCAAAGCACTGGCCATCACAGCGTCCCTGCGTTTGTGCGATTGCGATTGTGAGACCTTCCCTGCCGGCCTTCCCACAAGTAAATTCCCATGAGGGAGTCAGAAACGGCGGTCTCGTGAAGTCTCGCGCACAGCTCGTTTAACGATCTCAACCTGGGACGGTTGGGATTGCGGTCGTTAAGCGGCACGGCCCTGTGGTTGTTGTTTTTTTTCAACTTAAGACCGTGGTGCGGTGGCCTAGAGGTGGTGCTCTCGCCTCACATTCAAGAGGCTGTGAGTTCGATCCTAGGTAGAGGCAGATGTTTCTCTCTCTGGGCACAATGAGAAATATATCTGCTGAACAAAACTCCGCTCTGGTGACAGGAAGAGCATCCGGCCATTAAAACACTCAACTCCATTCAGTTGCCTAGACTCCACCCCGCAAGGGAATGATGGGGTCGTTAAAAGAGGATGATGATGACCGTGTCGCTTAACGACAGAGCTTCCGGTCCCATTGATCATCGTTAAGCGAGGACTCCCCCATAATTTTATTTCGTTGTCGTACGACACGTTGACATCATATTTCGGTAAAAAGGTAAAAACACAGGGCTACAATACAAAACGGGGAATCGAAAGTCTGAAATCTTTAAAAAAAAAAAAAAGGGAAGATTACAAACGTTTATCCAAGTTGCAAATATAATTTGTTGCTTCTCGTCGCAGCCAGAAAATCAGCGAAACCTCCATTATAGGCTCTGTTTTAACATTCTGTCCTAGATATTGCTTCCCGGTAGTATTTATACCTGTGTAAATCGCATGTTTTATATCTATTTTTTGTTTGTGTATCGTTATAACCAGGGCTAAGAAATTTCACTCCCAGGAGACCAAATCAATAAGAAGAGGACACCAATTCTCACGTTTTTTTTCGAGTGGGGGGGAGCTATTCCTATTCTCGTGGTCAGAAAAATGACCGTTTCTGATTCAGGAAAAAAAACTTGAGTCCAGACAGGGTCTTCGCTTTGAGGGCGCCCCGTTATTTGGGGGGAGACTTTGGATTCCCGCAGCGCCCGCAAATGTGTGGTACGCAAATTCAGCATTTACCTTCGGAGCCTCGATGGCGGTGTAAGTGGCCCCCGGAGGCACCTGATAGCCTTCGGTGTAGAGTTTGAAATGATGGATCAGCGCCTCCATGGACGACTTAAGAAGAGGAGGGGAAAAGAAAGGGTTAACGTCACCTCCGGTTGGCTTCGCGGTTTAATGACGGTTTAGCCTAACCAGAGAGTATCTCAGAAGGTTAAATCATGGCAACTTGAGCGAAGTTTAATTAAAGCTGAGACGTTTTCGATACGCATCCAAGCGACCTTTTACTTGGGAAAGAAACAGGAAGGAAGGAAGGAAGGGAAAGAAGGAAGGAAACAGGAAAGAAGAAAGGAAAGGAGGGAGGGAGGGAAGGAAGGAAGGGAAAGGAAGGAAGGAAGGAAGGAAGAGAGAGAAGGAAGGAAGGGAGAGAAGGAAGGAAGGAAAGAAGGAAGGAAGGAAGGAAGGAAAGAAGGAAGGGAGGGAAGGAAACAGGAAGGAAGGAAGGAAAGAAGGAAGAGAACAGGAAAGAAGAAAGGAAATAAGGAAGGGAGAGAAGGAAGGAAAAGGGGAGGGAGGGAAGGATAGAAGGAAAGGAAAAGGGAAGGAGAGGAAAGAAGGGAGAGAAGGAAGGAAGGAAAGAAAGAAGGGAACAGGAAAGAAGGAAGGAAATAAGGAAGGAAGGGAGGGAAGGAAGGAAGGGAGAGAAGGAAGGAAGGAAAGAAAGAAGGGAACAGGAAAGAAGGAAGGAAATAAGGAAGGGAGAGAAGGAAGGAAGGAAGGAAGGAAGGAAGGAAGGAAGGAAGGAAGGAAAGAAAGAAAGAAAGAAAGAAAGAAAGAAAGAAAGAAAGAAAGAAAAGAAAAGCCCTGGTGGCTCAGTGGTTAGAATGCAGTATTGCAGGCTAACTCTGCCCACTGCCAGCAGTTTGATCCTTACCGGCTCAAAGTTAACTCAGCCTTCCCTCCTTCCGAGGTGGGTAAAACGAGGACCCAGACTGTTGGGGGG